TGAAATCCTTGAATCTGTTTTACTTTGGGCGTGCGTGGCCTGTGTTTGCTCCAGCCTTCCCTCTCCTCTCATCACAGCAGTGTCTGAGGAAAGGTGGCGTGAAGCAGGGCATTGATTGTGCAGGGATGCATATTGATTGCTCTAAATTTGCATGGGAATCCATTCGGTTTGAGTCCGGAGATCATAATCGATCAGATGGGATAAAGCCCGCACCGTGGCCTTCTTGCGTTTCAAAAGGTTAAGGTGAAAATTAATTTGCCTGTTCGTTAGATACATTTCAATCCTGTAATTAAGGTTCGCAAATGATTAAAATGTAAAAGAATGGGAGCGGTGAATGTGACTTTGATTGCTTGTGTTTGTGATTCGATAGCATGATCTGTTGGCCCGATGTGCACGCAGCCGGCATCCTAATGAAGCAGTACAAAGGAAAAACTGAAACTTTTATGATGTTGTTTGCTTGGTTTGGTCAAAAAGTGGAGTTAAAGTGCACTCAAAAGTCTCGTACGTAGAATACTAGCAATTTTGACAAACCGCCACAATTGTAGTCAGAACGTTTCACCTTGGGGATGGTTGAACTAAAGTGGGAAAGGGAAAAAAGTGATGGACAGTAAACATGTGACGACCGTTTTGCTTTTGAATGAGAGGATTGAGGTTTTTGTCGTAACGTCTCAATCACACATTTGGAGAGACTGGGAACGAGATGCATGTACACTGCTAATATTTCAAGGCTATTCTGTAATTTATTTTGTATTGCCACTTTAAGGGTTGGCTCTGGTTAATAATACATGGACACTGCACTATGTATTTCCACAAAGAACCATTTCCAAGGCAGACTATCTCTCTCGTTTCTTTTACGATTGAGAATCCTTGAACCCTCTATTGTGTGTTTAGTGGCTATCTGGTGTAAGTAATGCAGTGCGTATGGATAAGCACTTTAATACAATCCCAGAGTAAACAATGTGGGCTAACCCTGTAAGGCCGCAGCTCAGAAAACCTGCGTTATTTCACAGCAAGAGGACTATTTCATCAGCTTGTTCTAAATCCTGTTCTGTGTTTGCCTTATCGAGCGCCGGACACAGACTGGACCCACTGTGTGCATCTGTGCTCGTGTGCGCTCCTGCGGGCACGTGCACGCTCATGAAGCCTTCTGGACAGGGCCGAGGGTGAAGGGGAGAGCTAACACACTCTCCTTGTCAGCGGCAAGGGTAATTACTCCTGGCTGAAATTACTCAACATTTGTTTATAAGCTCCCCTGAGCACACTGTAAATAGATTGTCTGCTCAGGCCCAATGCCATTGAAGCCCTGCTGTCCCTGTCTCACACACAGCACACGGCTTTATGTTCACTTCAATGGTGTATTTACTTGACGTTAAACAGAGAGTCAAGAACCCAGATTCACCTGCTCGGATTAATTTGACAGACCTTGGAACAGAACAACTCTCCTCTTTATACTCATTGTAATATTAGCGGTGCTTTGCGTTCCCTTCGCAACTTCCCACAGCTTCAGCAGATGAATATATGAATCCAGTATTGATCCTTGTTTGAGCCCTTTTCGGGGCCACTCTTATCTTTCCATCCCGCTTTTCTCTCCAACAATAGCTGCCATCTTCTTTGCATGCATATGAAGAGGAGGGAAAAAACCACTCCAAGTCAAGGTCCATTCGTGTAGTTATTGTATGAGATGGTTTCTGTCAAAGATGACAGTTTGAAACACTTGACCCACAAAAATGAATTCTTGGCCAGGGCCAAGTGACGACCCAAAGTAATTCATTCTTTTGAAAGGTTGAGGGAGAAGTGAAGAGAGAAAGGCTGACATGAGAGCAATGGAGCAGGACAGACCAGAGCACAACACAAACACTGCAGCAGCATTCATCTAAGAGCACTGCTGCTGACCAGAAGTGATTACTAATGACGATTTTGATTGTATTCTTCTGTACACAAATCTCCCGACATATGTTGCTGTTATTGCAAGCTGCCACACGGGCTAATTTGTCTTAATTACAGCGTGCGCGTTAGCCGCCTGCTAGCAGCGTCCACTGAGAGAGACAGACAGTTAGATGGAGTGGAGGGCGGAGAGCGCAACATCTGTCTGTATGGTGGGAGCCTTTGAAAAAAAACACATTGATAATTGAGCTTGTGCTGAAACAAACACACACCTCAGTAATAAAACCGTGGTCATCCGCAGCCTTACCTCCCATGTCCTGCTAATGGTGGCCACCACAGAGGTGACTGTGTGCAAATAGGCCTGAAGCACCCGTGGCCATCCATCACAGGGCCCCGGAGCAACATTACACCCTCTAATGGCCCACTCTGGCCTTCCTTATGATATTAATCCACAGCCGCACAGCACTCATTTCATTTGTAAAGTAGTGGGGGACTTTTTCTAACGCACCCCAAACACATAAACACACACAGACACGCCACTCACCTTGATGTTAGCAACGGCAGCTTTTCCTAAAAATAAAGACCCAGCCCAACCTGCCATTACCAGTCTCATCATCCAAGTATCTCTGTATATCTGCATACATCTTCAATTACCTCCACAACAACTTTTCTGCACAGCTGCCATTACTTTTCCCATGTACCTTAGAGACTGCACGATGCATCAATCCTCATCAAGGCTCTCCAGACACCAGTTCTACCTGCACCTAGCACTTTAGATTTGCTGAGAAACTGTATCTAAACCTGCCCATAGTAAAGTGAAAGCAACACATCATGGTTTCAAAGTTGGGGTACAAACAGTTGTTTTTGCTTCAGAGGCAGGACAGAGGTGATGATCCAGAACACGTGACATTCAACCACATTTATACGCTTTTATCCACATTTGTGTCATTTGGTCTTCTGCCCCTTATGGACCAATCAATCAATCAATCAATCAATCAATCTTGATCACAGGGTAACACAGTCCACAGCACACAAAGCACAAATCGTCACACAAAACACCAAAATTAAAAACACAATTATAATCACACAGGTAATTAAAAACATTAAAATCACACAAAGGATTACAATAATAATTAACAACAGCGCATTAAAAGGAGTAAAGATAAAATGCTTCAGTTGTTTGCACAGAGGCAGCCAGTCTCACATCTTCTGGAAGACTGTTCCAGACCTTAGCTGCTATAATGACTCTATGTGCTTTTTATCATTGCATTTCTCGTTTAAATCGCTGATCTGTGTTGAGGAATTAAACTGTTTTGTAAAGACTTTGAGATAACTGTTGTAACTTCAGGCTATACAAGAATTGTTTTAATTGAATTTTCTCCGACGGAATGAATATTGTGAATAAATCAGACCTCAAGATGCCGTCTTCATTCATCTTCATTATAAAACATGTAGATTCTTGTAAGCTGATTGGCTGAGTGAGGGTGGCCATTATTCCCATTGTTCTGACTGAAAAAGCCTTTCTGAAGATGTGACGAAAAGAAAAATACATACAGTACTTACAACTAGTGGAACCAAACAGGAGTTGGATAGATTTTTTTACCTTTAATTTCTAGATTAATTTATTTCTCGATTTAAATTTATGTTCTCCGGCTTGTAATTCTCACAAATCAGTGTATTAAAAAACCTTTAGCTGTTTGCTTATTGGTTAAGCTACAAGGTAAGTACATTATGGTTCTGAAAATGATAGATCCTATACTCTAAGTACGCTTTAGTCAGTATATTCATGGCTTAAATATCCCTGTTCAGATTAACATTGATAGATTAAAATGTCAAAAATCGAACAAGCTCGCCCTTCTCCGCCCGGTCTCTCCATGTTACAGGACACTTAATGGAAATAAGATTCTTGTGAAAAGCCATATTTTAAGTGGAGGCTATTCACATTGGCAAGTTGGGCATGTTCCTGCCATAACCTCCGGCTTGGTTTGGCCATTATATTAACAAATGAGGCTGGAGTCTGCATCTCTGTGGGTCTTTTAAGAATTTTTGGAAACAATGTCAAAATGCTTCCGAGCGATTATTTGGGCAAGCTGCTATGTAGGCTGGGGCGCGTTGGCTACTGCTGGTCTCTTAGCGCTTGCTTCACACATGAGCGCATATTGAAAGCAGTTAGTGAGCTCCAAGGCACTGGCGCTTGCTGGGGTGACCTGGGGATCAGATGGTGGGCTGGAGAGGAGAGCCCAAGCCTTCTCTTTGGTACGTTTTATTTTTTAAAACAGACCACCATTGGCAATCTCCACCGCCAGTGCTATGTATTGGCTTTGTATTCACACACACACACACACACGCCTGATGTATGAATGTCAGAAGCTAAAAGTGTCACCGCGAATCAAGGTTTTCCTCAAATACCAACGTTCATTTGGTAACATTTTATGCTGCGACCCTGACTTGTCTGAACCAGGATACAGTCTACAGTTTCCGAATGCTTTCAAAAATGACAAGCGAACGCAGAACTGGTCATACACGTGTGAAGAGACGACGTGGTATTTATAATTATAGCAATAAGGCAACCACCGGCAAGAAACAACAATACCATACCCGGCCGTGCCGACCCAACCTACAGTGGCGCAATAAGTTCTGACGCACTTCCACGGAGAAACGCCTAAACAACCGTGCCTCTCCTCGCCTGGCGGCGTGCTTCTTAGGACAGAACGGAGAGACATGGCAGCGAACTGAGGGGGCGCGGGCAATAGGTCAGCGCATCTCACAAACACACAAAAAAAACACGACAGGGACGGCCAGTCCGACTCCACGCATGCTGTGCTTGTAAATATTTTTTGTTCAAAAATAACATCAAACCACCATCCAGTAAATGGAATACACCCCCTGGTACATTAGATCCCCCCAACCAAATATGCCCCCGACATGGTGCACAGAATAAAATCTAGTCAAACTTAAGGTCCCGCATTAGATATTCATGAAAACGTATACACACGCCGTGAATGCTAATGGATCCCAGGAGGACAGGCCGCGGCGAACGATAAGTGGATGATACTCCATTGAATGCGCCGCTGTCCTAGGGCCGACAAATCATTACATGTATTCACTGACTGGAACTAATTGCACAGATTCGCAAGGCCACCTCGGGCGATCTCCCGGCATGTCCGGGACACTCCCTCCACCAACTCTGCGTCAATAATGAGGCGGGGGGGTTCGTTGTACGTGCAACGGCCCAATATGGCCCAAGAGCAGTTTCTAGCAGGCCTCCCGGGCAGGAAGAAGCTTTCGACCCAACGTTCTCCCGCAAAAAAAGTGACTCACGCCAACATTCGCCTTACCAACGAGCCAGAAAGTGGATCACCCACCACCCCGACGCGTCCGAGCGAATCCTCCACTCCGATCTCTTCCATCGTTGGGGGGGAGGCCACACGTCAAGATAGACTTCCACATAGCCCGCCCAACCCCGAAATAGGCTCATTCCCCGTAGCTCCCCACCAGCGAGACCCCGGCCTTACCTGGATTCCCGCCCCCAACAACACAATCCAACCCCACCGTCACATATAGCAGACTGCCCATCTATCTCATCGCGGTATAACCCACCCACACCAGACACACAGTCCCCAAGCAACAGACAATACCATGGTTTATCCCGCGGCCACGTCCGGTCCCCGCGCTGACACCCCGCCCCTGTACAAGTTCCAATAAGCCCGGGCAAACGCATTTATTTTATTTTTACCCTTGTGCGTCCACACGACTCGGCGTAGATGAAAATGTTAAAAACCTTTCTAAACGAAAATTGTCCTCGTGCCACCCCAACCGCAACGCTAACCATTTCCATATAACAATATCTGATCCAAAGGCAAGTGGGCGACCGCACCATTTACCTCGCGGCTTTCATCGGCCGGGGGTCAAACCACAACATTCACTAACTATGGCCACTATATCCATTGGCTGGTAAAAATCTAAGTCCTTTACCTCATGCAATTATGGCTGTCATCCGAATCAATTTTGTAATTTTCTATTAGCATCTTTGAGGTCCGACAGTTCCTTAATATGCATAAAAACCAAGCCTCACGATTTAAATTACCCGTTATAAGCAATGTGTCAGAGCCGGAGAGGATGCGTAAGACACACTGTCTGGGCAACTTCGGTGGAGACCACAAACTTCAATCAGAAGGCGCATTAGGATACGAGATTTGGTGGCGTCCCCCGGACAAAGACGAAAAAGCGTTATCCTCCCTCCATTATAGTCCGCAGCATAAACTTCCTGCTGCCGCCTAATTATGCCCCATAACTCTTTTCCATTTATTCAAAATTACAGTTAGGGGGCCATGACGTGAGCTCTTGAACCCCCCTGCTTTATACAATGGGGCCTCGATCGTCTTTTCAAATTTTCACACACAATAACGGCAAACGTTTTTGTGTTCCGAATACTCTGCGCCGAACTTCCAGAATGCCTATGTTGCAGGAGTGCGAAACAATGTACAAAAGGTGTGGCACACTATGCAGAACATGTGTTGGATTAATAGTATAACGAACGCGGATTAGCACGACAACTAAACAACCAGGAATAGACCGGACCCTTTATTAATGATGTCGAAATGATCAGAAGAAGGAACACAATAGCCCACCCAAATGCTGTATCCCTCCCTAAAGTCATATCGAGATTTACGGGTAGTTTCTGGAAGTGTTGAATACTCAGCATTTGGTAGCATTTTTGTGGTCCTTCATAACTTTTGACCTTTTTATCTGTTTCTATACGTAGTTTATTTTTAAAATATAAAAATATACCTTAGTTTTTCCTTTATGGTCCCAGCTACGCCGTATAATAACCACACCGGGCTATCAAGCAACACATTGATTTGCGTTGCTAGCAATAGCAAGTATGGTGGCAATTCAACAAACATTTAGTTTGCTAATAATTAATAGTTAAACGCAAGTAATAAATTCACTAGGTCTAGGCGCTCTTGGAGGATGAGGTGTAGAAAGAAAAACCCAATAGAATCAACTACAAACGTACGTTATTATAAGACGCGAGTGAGAAATACAATGCAATACCATTGTTAAGAAATGAATACCAGCCCCCACAACACGAGCCCGTACCCGCCATACACACCAGACCGTCAAAGGAACATCCCTTCTGCCCCATGGGGGCCCAAAACCCTAACCCGACGATCCCCCCCTCCACCTACCCCCCTCTTGCCCGCCCTTACCCCCCACGAGTCCCCTACTTGGCTTGGCCCCGCCCTCCCACAACCGGATTTTTTATAACAACGATTTAGAACGACCAATTTAACCCTTTTTGTGTCGATAGATGATGAGTTTAAATGCCCCAAATGCTGTTCCCAAAGTCATATCGGAATTTTAGTTCTGGAAGTGTGAATACTCTGCATGTGTGCATTTGTGGTCTTCATAACTTTGACCTTTTCTGTTTCTATACGTAGTTTATTTTTATACCATTAGTTTTTAATTTTGAAATGAGAGCAGTTAGTTACCACCATAGCAACACATTGTTTGCTTGCTAGCAGTTAGCATTTGGTGGCATTTCAACAAACTGTTTTTGCTATATTTTAGTTATAGCAAGTTAAATGCACTAGTCTTAGCTCTTGAGTTGAGGTAAAAGAAAAACCTGATAATAAAATAAACTTTTTAAGTGTGATTTCTTGGAATTCCATTGGTTTGAATGTATTAAAAAACACAAATCTACAGTAAATTATATACTGTAGATTTGTTATGCATTAGACTAATCCTGCTTGCACAGCCTTTTTAAAGCCATTGCACTGCTTTTTTCAATAGTTTTCAGCCTGTATTCAATTACAAGGATTTCATTTAAAAAAAAAAACGATGAAAGAAAAGATCTTAGAGAACGTTTTAATTGCGGCATCGCGGTCTTGACTAGGACGACAGTGTGTGTGGGGGTCGCAGTGGTCCCGCGCTGGGCTTACCCCCGGCCACTGCCGAGGAGCTCCCATGTGGTTCTGCTCAATGGTGAATGAACCAGAAGAACGGGGGGACAGAGGCTGTGCTCCGCGGGGGCTCTGGGACACATGCCGCCCGCCTGCCCAGGGACCAGCACAGGCCCTGGGTGAGCGCAGGAGGAGGAGAGTCGCTCCAGATCACCGGACAGGGGGGTTAGCGAGCGTCTGGGTTCGGTGCAAGGACACGGGGAAAACCACAAATCATAACTTAATACTTTACATTCAGAAAGATTTGAATTAGGTCAAAACTCTGAGCACCATTTTAAACGCCGCTTTGTATTTATTGAGCTTTTTAAGGCTTGATCTATTGTGCTTGTTTGTGCATCCTCTTACAGTGTTAAGTGTGAATAAATATCTGTTGGCAATGGGTAATAAGTGCTAAAATAAACAATTTTTAGGGACATTTTGAGTTTTAGAACGTGTAACATTTCAGATGGGTGTTAGGGGAGAATTTTGTAACTCAATGTTAGTTCTTCTCTTCACTTCCTCTAATCTATGACTCATACAATGCAACGTTTAATGCTATATGCAGTATATTGTGAAACATTCCCATCAAGGCATCGGCCCTCTCAGACCTCAAAAGGAAGAAGTTTGAAGGAAAGGAAAGTTGGAGTTTACATTTAAATATCATATACAAACTTATGATGCGCTGAAAAGACCATATTCCCACGATATAATGTATTTTATCTATCACCATAATGTCGTGCAAACAGAACTACAGTAACCCTCAATTAATTGCATACACTCGATCACAATTCGTAACATGTGTAGTGTCAACTTTCACTCGGGCTTGTAATCAGTGCATTAAGCTTAATCAGTGTTATTATATTACGCATTAACTATTGTCTCGTAAGTGTCTCATTTGTTTGGTATAATTTGATTTCACGGTAACGAACAGCAGAAGAACTTATTGCACTGTTGCACTGTGTAGGAACCATGGACTGTAAACATTAACGGACTAAGTCTCCGCCGTTGAAACTAACGTGCCACCACTTTTGGCTTCTACGGGGCTTTTACAAAATGGCCGCGAGCAGACTATCCAGCAGGAAAATTTTAAAAAAAGCATTTGCGCATGCGTTAGCCAGCCCCATTCATTTAACGAGTGCCTATAAAAGTCCACAGCGTCTAAACTACAGTGTCCCAAAAAAATACTCTTTTGCACCATTTGTAAAGCATTGGATAATTCTCCTTCTGGGTCCACCCCCACAGGCCTGGGGTGGTATTGTAGGAACTGTTTTATCGCCGGTGGTTTTGCATGACGGAGGCATTCAAAGCAGCTCCTGTTGTGACGAGGGGGGTTTAGGGTGAGATACATATCAAAGTCACAAATGTCAGCGGAGATAGCAACATGGAAATCCTGCTAATCCACTGACACCAAGATTCCCGAGTTCTTCCAAGTAAGAAAGTCATGTTTACTTATACAGAACATATTACCGACCGAGGTCACACGAAGCGCTTTACAATGTTCAGAGTTCTAATATTTATCCATTCTCAAAAGCCCCCAGCCACCAATCATTACATTCATATATTTTACATGTTTTTAGTGGTAGGGGATACCGGAGCACCCAGAGGAAACCTGCACAGACATGGGGAGAAGTCATCTCACCATTGTTCATTCATTGTTGGATGGAAATGCTCTTGTGCAATAATTACTTTGAAGTTTTATAATTTTGAACTTTGAAAATGTTAGATGAGTTAAGCCATCACTACTTTCAAAAACAAAAACAATCATTGTATTTACGTGTTCGGAGCTTTCGTGTTCTCTTCTTTCCAGGTCATTATTAGATAGATAGATGATATATAGATAGATAGATAGATATTTTGTTTATCCATCATAGGAGAAACTCAGGTGTCCAGTAGCAGCAGAAACAGTAGTTGCTGCTATACTAGAAAGTCATATTTTCATAATTTAGATACCACATAAGTCATGTTCACCGGTGATGTCATGGTTTCAGATGGTAGTGGGTAAATTCCATTAAAGTATGAAGTGGGACTATCAATGAACTAGCCTGGCCTTATCCATCAGTACACTCCGCTCAATCATCATTTCACTGCATGTAACGTCTGGGTTTAGTCCCTGGAACGGGAACGTTGTAGTTTGGCAATGGCGAAAAATGTGATAGTAAAGTATTAATCCGGTCTGGTTCTATCAAGAAATTGAAGGCGGAGCAAGAGGAATATTTAGCAAATGTAATCACTGGAAAAAATTGTGGCGCTACTCCCCACGGGCTCTGTTAGCGGCAAAGGAGATGGCTAAAGCTAGGCTAAATGCTAAATGCTAACGACTCACTCGGGCGCATTACATACGTCACGGTAAACTCAGATCCAATGGTTTCAATCTGCAAAAGGAGTTAACCCCTCCCACCTGTTCACGGAGTCAATGGAGCAAATTAGTACCTTAGTACGAAATGTAATTTGTACTATGGTGTGGTACGACCAGGCTATCAATGAACAAACATGCGTCTTTTTTGTCTTTACTTTTTGACAATGAGCCTTTTCTCTCTCCAATTTCACACAACTTTCCTGTAAAATAAAGCTTTAGCCCAGAATATTTTGCCAACATTAACCTTATTAATGCTTTGAATGAGTCCGTTCCTTGTCCTTGCTTAGTCCAAGTTGAGCTTTTTTGTTATTTTGTCCTGGTTTATTCTCGAAAAGGAGGTAATAATTGTGCGTGAGTCTAAAACAATGAACAGGCAGCGTCTTCATCACGGAGCAGAGCGGGCTGATGGAGCTCAGGTCTAAATGGCTTCATCTTTGTGTGATGTCTCTATCCCCCTGTTTTGAGGCTGGCCATAGAGCAGGGCTGATGTTTTAATCATGTCCGGGGGGCTCATTGTGATGGACCGCCACCTCTGGGTCTCTAATTGTCTCCGGCCAGCCTGGCTCTGCTGATCACCCTGCGTCTGGAATGCCTAATGACTCCGGTCGCTTTTCCCTGCTGCCGATAGAGACGCTCCTGCTTATATCTGCTCTTATACATTCATGGAGACCTAATGTGAAGTTATGCTGATAAAGGGGAGGCGTGGCGGCAAATGAAGGTGTCGTGCTGATGCAGGTGGGGTCAGAGGTTAATCAGTAAAATAATGTGATGATGTGGTAATGTTTTCAATATAGAAGTACACAGCAAAACAGTGCCTTTAATGGAGAGGGATTTCAAGTATCAAGTGACAATTAATATGTATTTATGACGACAAGAGCAAGAAGTTCAGTCTGTTATTGACATTCTAAATCACTCCATTAGGTTCGGGCATCATGGATACATTGAATATTCGATCTAGTTTTTGCCAATTATTTAAGGTGAAATGAATATGTAAAAGGATCCACAAGGGGTGACAGCGCTTTGTCAATAGTTTATAGTACAGCATTTTAAGGCAACTTTTTCATTTTTAATCACTTCTCTTTGCAGAATGATTATAAACATCAAATTAATTATGTTTTGTAGTAAATTAGTTCATGTTTTGTTATCAAGTGACCTCTTTTACATGTTATTGTGTCGCGTGCATCTAATAGGGAAAAATTAGACAGACTTTGCATGTTCATCCAGTGTCTGCTCAAGATTCCTCCAGGTGCTCCGGTGTACTAATCTTACGCTGAAAGATGAATTCTCACTATAATGTGATTGCTTTAATACATTACCCAGACACATTTCAGAATAATCCTTTTAAATCGTGTGGTTCTGGCTGGTCAGGTCACTGGGGTACAGTAGTCGCAACCTTCAGATTCAGCACCAACTTCTAGACCAAAATAGCCCCAATCCATACATCACAAAACACAAAGCTCTACTTGATTATTTTACCTGAGAAACTGAAGGAGAAAAGACATAAATAAGCTTCAATTTGCCAACTTACAAAACTACCTCGGAAGCCAATTTGTCCGAACACGTCTGAGAAAATCCCGGCCGCTGGTGCATGTGAAACAGTCTTTGGCCAAGTTGAAAGGGAATTAATTGTAGCGTGAGGTTAAATGGTTAAGACGCTCTGCAGCCATCATACACCATTAGGAAACGCTGCTTTATGAATGATACATTTCTCTGCCGCACCCAGATGCACACCGTAATCCGCCTCTAAGCTGCAGGCTGCCCCCCCTTGGCCCTCTGGACTGGCCCGGGATGATGTGGAATTAAGGTAACGCGCCTATTGCTTATGCCCCTGATTGTACACCTGTGGGTAAGGCTTTGCACACTGTTGTAGCAGCCCTTACAAATACAAATATCTCTGAGGAGACTCTGAGGAGCACAGGGACGGGACTCCTGCTGGTTCCCCGAGTCGGAGCTAAACATGTGTGGTATTCAGGAGGGTGTGTTGGATATTATTCAGCTGGATTCACATGCTCTGGGACAGCAGGCAACTTGGATATGGGTAAGGCAAGGCGGCGACAGTGCACAGTATGGCTCCATGGCATCAATCTAAAAGTCAACGCACGTAAATAAATATAACAAATCACGAATTGTTCTAAAACCTAACTGCTACGCTAACCCAGGTTCTGCTACGAACCTGGGTTAGCGCTGTAGCCGCTCACGCACATGAGCTGGGTTGAAAGCCAGCACCGCGGGCAGTACAGGCCCGAGTCACGGCAACACAAGCGGACCCATGGCAGCAGCACTGAACCACAATATTTAACGATCGGTGCTCCATAAAACCAACATTTCACATTTAATTTTGAGTAGTACCTGAGAGTGGGAACAGCGGCGTAAACATGATACAACCGGAAGTAAGAAAGTGAGGTCAGAGGACGAGTGAAAGGAGACGTGACCCTTTTATTGAGTGATTGACAGGACGAGTAACCAATGGAAACCGAGGATGAGAGAAAGTGGCATAGAGCCCGCCTGCAGCCACACATGGGGAGGCAGCATTTCAGATTCATGCAGAAAAAATCTCTCTTCTCTGACAATGTTCAAATCCAGGTAAAAAAAAAAAAAGTTCTATTTAGCTGTGCAGACAAATGAGAGATTTTATATTTTTATTTTTATTTTCAATGCACTGTGATTATTTATGATTTTGATCAATCAATCAATCAATCATATATGTGTATAGCACCTTTTTGAGTACAAGACAATTCAAAGAAAAATCCAAAAAACACAAATCGAGATGAAAGGTCAATAAATATACAATAATTTCATATTAAAACAGCGCAGCATAAAAGAATGGGTTTTAAAAATCATTAAAAAGTGGGTTTAGAAAGTTCTCTATCTTGTTTTGTTCATCACTTTGAGTTTGAGTTGAATTGTGCTATACAGATAAACTTGCCTTGCATATTCAGGAACTAAATATTGGCTCAAAGCAGGTGTTTTTGTGCTATGGAAAATTAAACTACCATTTCTTTTTTTATATTTTGATAACCGCATTGAGTGTCTCACACAAAAAAAAGAGTGCATAAAGTCAAGATTTTCCAACCAACACAATATATTAAATTTTTGCACCCCACTTTTGAGATAAATGGTGTGCGTAAACCAACACAACTGGCGGTAATATTGGACCCTGAGCGTTAATAAGCAGCAGCTCCTCAAGTGTTGCGTACACTTAATAACAAAGCATGTCTGGGCGCCCCTTCTCTCCATGCGCTGGCCTTATTAGCATACAATCTGAATGCGGAGAGCACCAACAATGGGGAGGTCAGTGCCGCTTCGATGGGGTCAATTCTGAGGATGGCTCGGCAACACGCGCTGTATGTGTCTTTGCATACTGTCGGAAATCTATTGCTGTGCTGGAAGTTAAGTGGCGCTGAATGCCAGTGGTAGACCTTCCAGACTAGCTTCTTGAAAATACAAAACGAGGCCCAGTCAATTGCATTCTGCTCCATTTTACCTTTTGAAGAGGCAATCCAAGAGTTTAACCCCCAGAATATTATCTCGTTCCCTTCTCCCATGAGCAGAATGGCCGGCACTCATCACTTAAAAAAGAAAAAAAAAATACAATTCTGTTCTGTCCGTCTGGTCTAGCCAGCGATAATCCGAAACCACTTTTAGCGTACTGATAAGACAACCTATTAAATGTAATTATAAAATGGGTGGTACAAATTGTTAGTGCTGTGGCTATCTTCAAAATGTCTTAATGTCTTGAAATAGCCCTCGTGATTTAAATCATTTTAGCATTTCCTTGCAATTAGCTTTCACATAATAACACTGAGGCTAATTTCTGCAGCACGTTTGACATTATAAATGTAATTGGCTCCCATTCACATCCCCAGTGTGACACATCTATCAAGCTTCATGCCGACATTTATGCTGTTGTGTGTACACAGCACCACACACACTGACGCTGCTGCCCACTTTGCATGGCCACATAAACAATCAGTGTTTTCACCAAAATCTATCAGGCGGCGTCATTATAACGATCAGCCATTGATTGCGTTCCCTCCTTCAATTTAACGCTCTCAATAAAAATAAGGATCTACAATGCATTCTAATTACACTTGTGAGGTGACCTATGTAACGACTGTTTCAATGAAGGCTCATTAATTGGCCTGTCGCAGTTCAGTTGGAGGCTGTTGTGGCACTGTCCTTTTCATAGGCATGACCAGCATCGCTGAATGCTCATATAGAAGAGCTCCAATAACAGTTAAAATGCTATTAGTGTGGCTGAGCCACAGCCACACTGTGCGCTCTCTAATTTGAGCCT